AATCATTCGTTATTATTAATCACTGACTCTCTTCCACAGCAGCTCTTTTGTCGAGGATTGTCCCTCCCAAAGGTTTCTTCCTGTTAAAGGGGAGTTTTTCCTTTCCACTGTCAACAAAATACTTGTTCATAGGGGGTCGTCTGATTGTTGGGCTTTTCTCTTTATTATTGTAGTGTCTTTACAATACAAAGCACCTTGAGGCCACTGTTGCTGTGACTTGGCACTACATAAATAAAATTTAATTAAATTGTATTCAGGAAACAGATTTGTAACCAGTGAGTTCCTAAGGAGGCCTAATGGGAAGATTAGTTTGCTATTTGTTAATGAAAGATGAATCAGATTACATTCGATACACTGGTGTACATACACTCACGGGACACAGGTTGCCAGTAAATGGACTGATTCTTATGTAGCACTTTTCTACTCTCCCGGAGTACGCAAAACGCTGTATGCAACATGCCCCATTCACACTCTGATGAACACATCGGAGGGCAACTAGGGGTTAGTATCTTGCTCAAGGATGTTTGGAATGCAGACTGGAATCAAACCACAAACCTTCCACTCAGTCGCTGATCTGCTCTAACACCTGAGCCACACTCACCCCAGTACCAGGTTGGACCCACTTTTGCCTTCAGAACTTCTTTAATTCTTTGTGGTATAGCTTCAACAAGGTGCAGCTTTAATCTGAGATGTTGGTCCAGGTTGACAGGATGGTATCACAGTCCATTCATGATGGAACGCAGGTTTTCATGTTTATGCATCATTCTGACCTTTTAATCCAAATCCTGCATCAGGTTGAGAAGCAACAGACCAGCCAACATTTTTCCAGTCTTGTGTTGTTCAGTTTTGGTGAGCCTGTGGAAACCACAGCCTCAGCTATCTGTTCTTAGCTGACAGGAGTGGCACCCATGTGGTCTGATGCTGGAGCCCATCTACTTTAAGGTTCAAAATGCTCTTCTGCATATGTTGGTTTTAACGTTTGAGTTACTTTTACCTTACTAACAGCTTAAAATGGTCTGGCCATTCTTGTCTGACATCAGCAAAGTGTTTTCAACTAGAGAACTGCCGCTTGCTGGATATTTTATTTTTTGGACACTTCTATATAAACCGTAGAAATGTTTGTTTAGGTAAATCCCCAAAATATCGGCAATTTCTCAGATACACAGACCATTCCATCTGCTAACAACAACTTCAAAGTCACTTTTATGACCTTTCTTTTCCATTTTGTTGCTTGCTTTGAACTTCGGCAGCTTGCATTGACCATGGCTATATGCCTAAATCCACTCAGCTGCTGCCATGTGATTGACTGATTACACATTTGAGGTAACAAGACGTTGAACAGGTGTACCTAACAAAGTAGCTGGTGAGCATATATGACAGAAAAAAAAGGAAAAGCAGCAGTAAATGTAAATCGTGTTTTGTGGACAATTGAAGAATCCTTTTACCGCTGCTCGTCCACATTTGTCACTTTCCGTGACGGCTTAAATGACATGGCACGGATTGTTTTAAATGCCACGAACATTCAAAACTTTACTTACTTTGACTGGGTTACAAACATCTGTGTGTTACTGATGATAGCCTACTACTGTGGAAGTAAACGGATTTCAGGCACTGTGTGCTTCAGATGAGAATAACCTTTAACTTTACCTCAGGGGAGGGTGATACTTCTCATTTCCCCCTTATTACCTATGAGGGGAATTAAACTGCTTCCTTATATAGAAATGGGAACCAGACTGTTTTTCTGTCAACACAAACAAACCTTAGCTGACTTCTAGGTGAAGTTTACTTAGGTTATGTCGTCCACACCCAGACTTACTAGCTAATCTTGTTAATAAATTACTGGATTTTCTATCAAACAATGACAGATGTTCCCATTCAGTTGATTTATTTCAAACTTTGACATTACCATAGGGTCATTATTGATGCTGAATTGTTGAAAGGAAGACCTAAATGTTGAAGCAATGAATTTGTGGGCAGAAGTGATGAAATTTTATTAGTAAAGTCATGTGTTGCTCGGAAAAGCAGTGACCTACAGCATCGTTGCGTTTGGCTGAACAGTTGTTAACCCTGTGGGAAGGTTGGCAAACAGGCTGTGAACTCTGTCCTATGTGCTCTTGTTGACTCCTCCTGCTTTCAGAGGATGCAGATCTGTTGGAAGGGTGGATGAGAGAGTGACGTGCATGATGTTCTTATCTGTAGAGCTGAGAAATGGCCACCTATTGCATTGTGTACTCAGTGAGATAGCGTATGGGGAAATACAGCAATAAAGAGAGGGAGTGAGTTTTAAAGAGGCTGTCTGTTCTGTGGCTGTCTCCTTCACAGTGACAGATCATAATGACTTTCGGGACTCAGATTTTCCTCGTGTCCATATTTCAGGTTTGAGAATAGGATGAACAGATCCCTACAAAGAAAAGAAAGAAAACAAATAGTCACTGTACAAATCTGACATTTGTTTTGTAAAGACAAATACACCAAATTATGTTAGAAAGCAAGCAACGCTACATGAAAGCTAGAGTTTGATTTTAGGGTATAACTGTTTTTGTGAAAGTACTACTTCAGCTCGTGTTCTGTAAAATAATCGTGTGTGTGATTATTAGGGCTGCATCGACAGATCAGTGAATGTCCTCATGTTTCTTGTGAGACTCACGTGTTGATGTAAATCACAATGTAGGAGGGATGCCAATTCAGTGTGTCCCCACATAAAGAGGGACACCTAGTCACCATATGAAGACACTGCGGTGAACGTCCTTGTGAGGAGAGTCGTGGTGCTGGATGCCAGTCACTGTTGAATTTCTTGTGGTTCTAGCTTTTGTTTGATAGTTTTGTGCCTGCTGCTTTTTGATCTCACCACATGTTTTTAGATTGGGCTCCTGCACAGGAAGTATATTCTAAAATGCAATATATTTCCCCTCTTTGCTGTGTGAATGACCTAATTGCTTCTTCTGCCTCTCTGCTTTGTCAGTTTTAATCATTTGCATCAGGACCAGAATAAAAATGAAACGTGGTTAATGTGTAAACACAGTTAAGGGTTGACAATGATATGCTTTGATACCAGCTCTTCAAATGTTTTCTTCATTTCGGGAACCCTAGAGGAAATCTTCAACCGGAAAATAAAAAGAAGGATAAATAAGTCAATCATTGCACGATATTAAGAAAGGCTCACCTTTTACCAGAATCCAGCTCTGAAATAAGACACACTTGTGTCAACTCTAAAAGTCTACGCATGCCAGGCTGAAAATTAACATAAGGTACTGGAAAATGTTGCAATGTGAATATTTGCATGAGATAAGAATGAGGTCGTTAAGGTGTGTGTGTTTATGCACTGCTGGATATTTGGTATGGCTTTCGAGGAGTGTTTGAGAGCAGAAGCATATAAACTGAGCAGTTGGAACATGAAGAATATGAAGGAGAATGTGAATCTAACTGGAAAACTGACCATCTTAAGGTCTGATAAAGGCATTTTCTTTTCAGACAAAACAAAATTACTGCCTCAATAAAGTGTAAGCATTTAAATACGATCATTGAAACTCGTAACATGAGCAATAGTAGTGTTACACACTTATTAATCTCGTAACTGAAATTATGGCACCATCATTCACACTTTACAACTACAGAAGACAATAAAGACAATAAAATGTTCCTGCTCAGTTTCCTTAAGATAGAAACTTAAGTTTCCTTAAGGTAGAAACTTAAGGAAACTTTTTTATCTTTATAGTTGATCTGTCTGCTTCCATAGTTCAGCAGTGTGTCATCCACAATTACCCAACAGTAGTAACGCCATCGCTGGTGTAATATAACGGTAACGATGCACGTCTCATGGCTCACTTCCGGAACAAAAAATGAAAAGCTGCGATAAATGTTCCAACGATGAGCTTTTTCATGGCGGTATAAATTAGCAGCCGTGGCCTTGATACTGTAAAATGTGAAAATCAGTGTTGGCTCAGAATGAGAAAGGTCAAGCTGTTCCAGATCTCTTTGTAGGTGTTATACAGGGATCCTTGACCGCAACTGTTTTCAGCCATTAAAAGTTAGCAGAGTTGTGGAGTTCTTGTGACAGAGCTATGGAAACGTGGTTCTGTGGAAGGAGAATGTTATTTATGTAGTGTGGTTTG